GTGAAAAATGAAACTTTTCAATAATGTAAGTCCCTTCCTACAAGTAGATTTTATCGTTCAAAGCAAATTCAAAGAAAAAATACACTTCTGTTACTTCTCCTTACAGCACCAACATTTTCTTGGCTCCCTCTCCTGAATAATGTAAATCTACAAACCCACTTACTTTGAGTACCTAAAAGCCACAAGGCAACATGAGCAAATGCCAAATGTAGAAACATAAAGGCTTAAAAATTAATCCAACCAAGAATGATAATTCTTTCTCCTTACAAGTTCTCATCACTTCTGCCTTCCAGTTCATAACAGATAATCACACAGTCTGGCATCCAAAAAGTCTCTCAGAGTGGTGTGGACGCTGAGGCATCAGAAGGATCTTAAGCTGTTTTAAAGAACTCCACAGAGCTCTTTTTCAATATCTGTTCTGCTTGCACAACTGGTTGGAACATTACCTGCTGTTTTTTCAATGGCCCTGTCATTGTTATCTTCGGTGATATTTTATCCTCATGGTGAGCTAAAGAAAACATTTAATAATCTAGGTAATTCACCTTAATCAGGGATAGGATTTATGCTTCACACCTTGCAGTAGTTTTAGTACGAAACAGCAACCCTGTGTATCTTAAATTATTTATCTGCTGAAAAGTGCACTCAGTGCTGGGAGTTCCAGGTTTAATTTTGCTCTCAAACTTTTGTGCAAGGGACCCTCCTGGTGCTTCTTGGAAGTGATTTCCTTTTGCCTGCAACACAGCATAAGTAGCTATTTAATAAGTGTGATTTCCTTTTCCTGCTCTAGAAGGGATGTTCCGTGACAACACAGGGGAAAAGGCAAATATCAGTAAAATTATAAGGTTGATAACAAGTTGATGGTGAATCTGTCATAAAAACAAGAAGCACTCTCCTCACCCATGTGTGGTATTAGAATACCTGTCACTACAGCCAAGTTTTTTGCTGCTATCCTTAGAGAATACTGAAATATCTACACTCTAGCCTTACAATGAAATAACTACTGAAGTTGAGCCCTGTTCTGAGGCTTGATAGATCTTTCAGGGTTATCAGTGAAGAAAGAAGCGATTCAGCATAAACTCCTCCTGAAACAGGAGCTGCAATCCAGAGTCACCACCCAGGGAACATCCCATGAGCTGACAGAGAGCCTGCACACCCTCCAGATGTTGATCCTGAAGATTTTGTCCCAGCTTGCTGAGCACCACGCATCTGATTAGCAGATGCTTCCTTACCCGTTCTTCTAATTCCTAAAAACTCCATTTCCTATATGGAGATTCAATAAAATTCAAAAAAATTTCTGTAACAGAGCTGGTTGCAGCTGCCTTGAATGGAACTCCCTTTTTAATTATGGAGGGACAGAACACTGAGTGATCCCAAAAAGTCAGCACTTTCCTTCCACTGCCTCCTCCAGGGAACTCCCAATTCCCAGGCTCCCCAGGAGAGGGGTCACGGCACCAAGGCTGTCGGAATTCCAGGGGCATCTGGATGACACTCTGAGCCACCTGGTTTAGTTTTGGGTAGTCCTGGGAGGAGCAGGAAGCTGGACTCGATGGTCCTCAGGGGCCCCTTCCAAACTGAAGCAGTCTGTGACTGTGTCAGGGGCAAGTGGGAGGAGATGAGCATTTAAATCAGATAAATCAGATGGTTAACACAGGTCACCCAGGTGAACTTGGCCAGGACATATCAGCCTTTATGGATCTGAGTGGCTAGTTCAGGAAACAAGCCCTTCTTTTAGTTTTCTTTGGCCCAGATGTTGAGACCATTTTGATTAAAATGACACAATTTTGATTAAAATGACCATTCTTTAAACTGAAAGAAGACACTGACTCTTGGGGCTTTTGGGAGATGGAATTGTGAATGTAAAAGCCAGCCGAGGAGATTGTGATTGTCTTGAGGTGGAGGAAAAAGACACCTCCTCATAAGTCTTCAGAAAATCAGTGATTTGATTATTTTGGGTCCTGTAGCTGTTGCTGTGGGCATTGGAACAGCAGCTAACAGCTCTTGAACCAGATGCTTCATGGGTGCACATTCAGTTAATGGTCTGAAATCATGTGGAGATATGACTTGTCATTTAAAAAGGAGGACGTGCCATGCCAGCTGCACTTCTGCATTTCTCTTTTGTCTATTCAAACAGCTGGAACAGTCTGGAAGAGTAAGAGTTTCCCTCAGGAATTCCAGCAGGCAGTGGGAAGGGAGCTAGTTTGTACTTTTAAAATTTACACTTTAAATTCTGCAGTGTTTCAGAACTGGGATCGCAAGCACAGTTCCGTAAAGCTGTGGTCTTACAGAATTGTGCATGCAGCTGACTCAGGACAAGAAATATGGCATTGTGTACGTGTTTTTAGTATTTTATTTTATTTTTTGTCAGGAAAATATACTTTTATGGTGTTCTCTGAAGACCAGCTTAACCTTTCTGTGTGTCTGGATATTGGGTATGGACAGACAAACATCTACATCCACGGTGTTATCAGCTGGCTCCAGGTGCTGACTGGTAGATAAAGAGATCCTGAAAACCCCACTCCTCAGTGATGTCTATTTTCTTGGCTAAATCCTTCAGATTCTGGCGCCTTCAGTGTGACTCATTAGCACGGCTGTTGTTGTGATCAGAGGATCATTGAGACCTTACAATATTTTGTTTCATTTAGAGATCAATTAATATCAATCTTGGGAACCTCACCCTTCTCTTTCCGTAGCAGCTCTTTATGGGAGCTGTGGTCAAGGGAAGACCTGTATAGATTAATATTCTAATATAATTTATTTGCCAGCCTCACACCTCATTTTACCATAAACCATCACTTCTGTTTCTTCTTTAGGTCTCTTCCTCCCTTACTCTCTGCATACGTCTTTTCTTTTATGGTCATATGATATTGGGTAAAACAATGAACTTCTACCAGCAAAGTGCATCTGTCAGTTGCTAAACTGCCCCAAAGTTATTAGTACATGTGTCTATTAACATGTGGAAATTATCAAAGGAGTGTGGAATTTAAAAACATTGAAGGACTTCCATGACATGCCTCTCCCCAAGTCTGCAATCTGGCACTAACTGGGGTTCCAAAAATTGAAAAAGCTGATTTAAATGTGTCATTTAAAAATATGATTCTGTTAATAAGAACTCTAATCAAATTTAAGTGGAATTTTCCTGCTAATGACAGCTGTGAAATCAGTTCAACAAATACTTGTCACTACATTTAAAAGCTAATGTTTTATTCCCAAAAGCCATTCTTGATTATGGAGCTTTTCAAGCGCCTTGTACAAAAGAAGTTTTAATAATGCAATATTAAGTTAATTAAATTAAATTATTAGCAACACAGTTTTCTTCAATCAGGTTGCAAGCATTATTTGGAACAATAAGGATTTGGTTCAGATTTGCTGTGGTTCACCCTGTAAGAGGGATTTTATCTTCTCATGGTGTGATATTTTCCTGGTCTAATCTTTAAAGTTTGCTGTGGCTCATTTCAAAAAGCCTAGCTTGGGTTTGTGTGCAGTTCTTCAAGCTGAAATCACCCCTTGCTCTCACCAAGTATGTTTCTGATTAAAACCCAGTTTTATTGTTGGTGTGTATTTCCTGTTTTCCACCTATCTCAATTCCCACATGTCACGTAAGGACCCCCAGAATATGATGGATTTACAGAGAGACCTGTTAACGTAGCAATAACCACAGCTTCCCTCCCAGCTACTGCCTGTCAGCACACCCCAAATAGGTTTGGGAAGATTCCAGTTCAGGGATGTCTCCTTCTCCTCATTTTTCATGCTTCCAGGCTTTTCCACATGGATGGTTGTGATGCTGTTTTGGGTTTTAGACTCTTTTTCTTTCATATATTCTCTATCCTTTGCACATATACTTGTAGCTTTGTAGCTTCATGTTGTAGCTTAGTTTCAACACTTTCCTAGGCAGAAAGACAAAACAAATTCCAGGATCCCTCTGCTATCCTGGTTCTCCTTAGACACCAAGGCTGAAACCAGCTTTCCAAGACATTTATAAACCCTTAGGTCTCATCCTAAGGGGAGAGAATCTGGAAGGTGCTAGAACTGGGGGAATTACCTCACCAGGAGGGTTCCTCAGGGGGGGTTCTTGTCAGATATGCTAATTTGCAGAATCTACAAAAATTGTACATGTGTTATGGGGGTGTGTGTGAATCTTTGGCTTTCTCTACCTGGCAGATTTGTGCACCTGAGGATCCTCACACAAAGGAGGATCAGCACCCTAATTGTGTCTGATTGGTATTTTTAGGGTCAGAGAAGAAGGCATCAGTTGAGATCCATCAATCTGCTGTAGATAACTGAGCTGGGAGCCCACCCCTGCTCTTTGCTCCAGAGCAGGTAGGATGGACAGGAATTGGAGGGTGATATCGACACAAGAAAGCACTTTGGGTGGAGATATCCTACTGCCTCAATGGTTCCTGGTTAGGGAAGTCCAGCCCTGCAAAAATCTCATCTGCTGGGATGCAGTTTTGAGCAGCAACACTGAGGGTAATAAAAATCTGTCATTGGTTGACAGAAGTCTGTGATTTCTGTGCTAGTTTTAACTCAAAAGAAGTTTTATATATTTAATTGTTTTGTAGTATATTTTCTAATATCAAACCATGTGGATTTGATATTAGAAAATATTTATGGACTGAAGGAGTGGTTAATTATTGGAACAGGCTGTCCAGGGCAATGCTTGAGTCACCATCCCTGGAAGTGTTCAGTGTGGATGTGGCACTTTGTGACACGTTTAGTGACTGGTTGTGTTCAGTCTAGGGCTGGCCCTGATGATCTCAAAGGTCTTTTCCAGCCTTAGTGGCTCTGTGATTCTGTGAGTCATGAGCCCATCCTGAATGCCAACCCTTCTGAGTTCAGAATCCACTTTAGAAAAGAGGGGGGAAAAATTGAGACAGGACCAAATAAAGACATTCAATGTGAATCACAGGTACAGGTGATATGGAAAGAAGTAGAAAGGGACAAGAGGAAAACAAGTCAAACTCTGTGGTGCAGATCCACTGAATTAAACAAACCTGTGCCTGTTTCATTTTATAGGCATTTTATTCTTATGTCATATACTGAATACATGACTGTGCCAGGTCTTGGGACACCTGTCTTTTGATAAAAAGTAGAAATTCCTGTTTATGTGTTAGGCTCCTTTGAGTATGATTTTATGATTCTTGTGTGGCAGCTGGGATGGGTCAGTGGATCCCTGTACAGAGCTCTCCCCTGACATCACTCAGCTCTAGATGGTCAGGGTGTGTGCTTCTGATGTCCTTCCACTACAACAGGAGGAAACACTTCCAGAAAAAAGGCAGGTCAGATCCTGAAAACATGTGTTTTGAGCTCCTGCAGCCCATCTCCTTTTGCACATTCAAATCGAGCAAACACCAGTCTCCTTCGAGGTCAATGGGTGGGTCATTAATAATTCTTCTGTATCAGTATTGTTAAAAAGTCTATAATGCCCATGTCACATCACTTTTCCTCACATTGATTTTGACCTGGAAAAATAGATGAGTAATGCATCTGAGTGGTGCCTGATGTTCCTTAGCACATTATAAGCAGCATTATTCATTTTGTGGTGAATGTGTAATCACCTCTCTGGAGGAGAGGTGCTACTTGAAAAGCTGTCTTCCTCATCACTGCATTCCCCCCACCCTTACACTTGTGTTATCAATCATTAGATCATCACTGGAGGAAAGAGGCTGGAGGCACAGGTATGCCTGGTTAGGAGGATAAATGGGTCTTGCCACAGGATTGGAGTTGTGAGGTTTTTCATAACCCTTTCCTGCTCAGACTCTGTCCAGATGTGGGTCTCAGGGATGGTGTTTGGGAAAGCCTTTTGTTTCTGATCCTCTGTGCTGCAGCAGCCTGCAGCAAATCAGACTAACCTGGGGTAGCTGGGTGAGGGGCAGTGCAATTTATCTCTGAGTGGCTGAGAGGCACAGACCAGATGAAGGGTTTCATCACCACATTACTCCAGAGGTAGCCGGGGCTCATTCATCTGCAAAAGAAACAAAGTGAATGGACAACTTGATAATGCTTCACAGTTTGAAGATTGCTTCTGGATGAATGACCTGCTTGTCTGCAAGTATGAGTACCGGGATGCTGCTGCAACACAGGATAAGAATAGAGATTTAATTTCTTCAAAAAGGATTTTTCATCTGATGGCATCTGATATTTGCACACAGATTAAGAAAATGTCCTCCCTTACATCTCTGTTTCACCACTAACTGGAATTAAGTCAAATGGTACAATTTACATTCAACAAATCTACTTCGCTTTTTGTCCTATTTTACAATCAAACTTTATGTTTCTATTTGAATGTGTGATTATTATTTTCCAACTAATTCAGCAAATTATTAATGTGGGCATATAATAGCCGGTGGCCCTTCAGTCTATTTGCTAACTTGGTTCATTTGCAATTCATAATTTGTTAATTATGTTAATATTACATAATATTGCATAATATTTGTTAAGTTCTCAGTAATTGTCACTAATTTACTTGCTGCTCTTTTATACCCTGTGTCAATGTTTCCCCAGACTGGAGCAGGGCTGTGAAACCTGCACAAACATTTCTGTAACATCCCTCTTTAGGTCAGTATTGTACTGGTATTCTTATAGGTGCTTACTCAAATAATTTAAATGAGTTACTCTGCTCATTAAGTGCTGCAACACAGCAACCCTGTATGAGAAATTTTATTTAGTGGAGGAAAAAAAAAAGAGAGAGAGAGAAAAGAGAAAGCTACTAATTTTGTGGCTGGGAAGGGGCTTTGAACACACACACACACACACACCTTGTCTTACCTGGAGGGCAGTAAAGCTGTCAGATACAGGAGGAATCCATTTTCCTGCTGCCAGCGGAGCAATTTACACCACATAGTAAATAGTTATATAGTTAATAGTTAATACTTCTTTTCAATAAAATAGTTTATTATCACTTTTTACCTTCTACTGACTGGTTAAAAAGCATATGCTCTTCAGCTGGTGGGTGCCAGCCTGGCTGAGTCTACTGGGATCATCCAAAACATTGGGCTGAGATGCTCTGCAAGGGAGGTAAGAGTGAGGCCTGACCTCTGAATGTTGTCTGCTGCCTCAGAGGTTGGATTTTCTGGGATGGAAACTTAAGGGAGCAGTAGCTCACTGTTCAGAGAGGGATAACAGAGGGGGACATCTGAGGCTTTGGAGGCTTCCTGGTACCTCAGGCAGAGGGTCACTTTTGCTCCTCTTGATGATTTCTGTGTATATTTTTCCAATTTTCCCTTTTATTCTGTGGGCTAACTTTTAAAACAAGCAAATTTGAAAGTGCCCTAAAATTATTGCGCATGCCATGGTCCGATTTTTATCATACTGGCATAAATATATAATATCTAACGAAGCCGGGGGTAGTTTAGGAAATATTAGGCATACTGACCAACCTGTCCTCTACCAGTAGCTCTGCTTGCCGGCTGAACCTCTCTGTAAAGCTTACCAGCTAATTAGAATGCATTAAAAATGACAGTGGCTGTTGACTGTGGGGCTGGAAACCAGAGATTATGGTGTCACACAGGACCACGCAATGTGTGAGTCAGTCGGCGCCCTTTGAACGCTCCTCACATCTGGCTGGTGCTGAATGGAGCCACTGTCCGAGGGGCTGCTGCTGCAGTACCTGGTTCCTCATGTACTAATTACAAGCTCTGAAGGCAGGAGTTAGGGGAGTCTGGGGACTTGTGGCTGGAGTTCACACGGGCTGGCGAAACAAAGGATGCCCTGTTCCTCATTACACTCCTACACTTAATTAGGAAGTGAGTTTGTTGATCAGTGGCTGCGCTAAGAATCACTCATTTATGACAGGGCACTTTGTAATTTTTCTATTTTTTAAATTTTTTTAAAATTTTTTTTTATTTTATTTTTTTTGTGTGAAAGTTTATTTAAATGACATTTTACACTTTGGCCATAAGGGATGTGATTTTATTGTATCTGAGTTTAAATATGTCTGTTGTAGTCTCCGGGTCTGACGGAAAGAGACACAGGGGTGTTTTGTTTCGAGGGGAGAGAGGGAAGGGGAAGGGGGTGGGCCAGGGGAAGTGTTTCATTGCAGAGCTGGGGTGATTGTTTGGGATTGGCAAAGCCATTTTGAGATCTGTGCACAGAATTTAGAGAGGACTGAGAGTGGCCGTGGTGCCGCTCTCCTGCCTTCTGCTGGGGGGGGTCTAGGTGCTGCCTGGGGATTTCAGCTTTTATATTTCCCATGCATTTGTAACCCTGCAGTTCTTTGGGGCACAACTCCAAACCCCATGTGCAGGGTCAGCTGCTGCTTCCCCATTGGGCTCAGACCCAGCAATTCCTCTCCAGGCCTGGCAATCAAGGACACCTCAGTGCCTCAGGCCCCAGAAATGCAAACAAAAGGGAGCTGGGACAGCAAACTGGGGCTGAATGGCTTCATCAATTCCTGCAGCTGCAATTGGGAGATCAACCCCCGGTGTGCAAATGGAGCAGACTTAGAAAAGTGGGGAACCCGTCAGCCCTGCTCCATTTTGGGTGCGGCCCTGGGGGGCTTTGTCTGCCCTAAATGTACCTGAAGGCCCTTCAGCAAATACAGCTGCTTTTTATTCCCTTCACTTGGCCTGGCCTCTGATTTAGGTAGCCCAAAAAGGCACCAAAAGTCAGAAGGTTTTGTGGGTCTGACAGGCCGGGCCCTGGAGCTGAGCCAGGCCTGTGTCCAGAGGCCGCGGGGGGACAGAGGTGGAGGCCGTGAGGGGAAATGTGATGCCTTGGAGTGGCTGCCTGGAACAGAGCCTAAGCTAAAGATAATAAAGTGCATATTTATTAAAGACCTTCAATAGATATACCTTGGGCTGTCAGAAACCTTTGAGGGGCTACACCCAAAATGGACAGTGGTCACGAGCTTTTCATACAGATAAAAGTTTGTTCCATTTGCATATCAGGGGTTAATTCTCCAGTTACAGCTTCAGGTCATTTTCTCCAATTTCCCCCCCTCAATTCTCTGTTGTTTACATCTCTCGGGGCCTGAGCCAGTGAGGTGTCCTTGAGTTTCAGGCCTAGAGGGGATTTGTTGTGTCTGAATAAAAGGGGAGATCAGCAGCTGACAGGGCGTGGAGTTTTAGGGTTACACACTGAAGCAGCACAGGATCTGAAAAATATAAAAGCAGCCTGTGCTGGGAGCCAGCTTCCCCTTCTCCCTGACAGGGATGGCATTAATATCCAGTGCCACTGTAGGACCTAGCAATTCTTCACTGCTACAGCCAGAGGGGATGAATGATGGACTGTTTTCCTCTCCCAGAAACAGCGTGCCGGGGCTCTGACAGGGGAATCACACGAAAGCAGAGCGCAGAAAATCTTTGAGAGAGAAGCCAAGAGTGAGATATAATGGCAAAAACAGAGGCCCATCTGATTTTTCTATAGTGGCTGTAACTGGGTTTAATCAGCCTTTTATGGAGAGAAATTTGCTGTCATCTTTGCTCAGATACCTTATATAATTGCTACTTAATTATAGACACTTACCTTGGTGCTGCCTGCTATGCACTCTGGTTCCTCAAGCATAAAATGCCTCTAATCTCACGGCTATTATGGAAATTTTCTTCCTAGCTGCATGCCTGCAGGAAAGCCAGCAAGCAGCAATGCAGGAGAGAGGGTGGGGGCTTCTTGGAGGTCTCTTTGTAAAACATCTGACGTTCAGTGTAGATGGAGATGGTTCACTAGGCTGAACACACAGTTTAGAGACTGGAGGAAGGAAAAGATCCCATATTGTTAAAATATTTCCCCTGACTTTAACTAAATTGAAACAGGTTTCTGTGGGAGTTTTTAAACTGCCTTAGATTTTCACACTCACCTGGTTACAAAGGCCATTTCATCCTCTTCTTCTGAATTGTATGTGTTGCTTCCTCCCCCATGTGAAAGAATAAAAAAATCAACTGATAACAGTCTCAGACTCGGCAGGTAACAGCTGACCTGAGCTTTTGCTCTCATAATATTTTCATATCATAATATGAAACACTGAAAGTTTTCCTGGCTTAGTGGAAGACATTCATTCAATCCTCAAGGAGTGCTTGGACGCTACCCAGTAATGTGAGTAGGTTCCTTGTTATTGTTTTCCAACAGTATCTGACTGTGAGTGGAGGAAAAATATGAGAAATACATAAGAATATAAAAAAAATATAAGAAAATATAAACCCCAAACCAATCACGTTAAGTGTGAGAGGTCTGTATAAATGTTATTTTCAGGAAAAAAATGACAGTAGTGCTCATGTGAATGAGCCAGATAATGGGGTGTCTCAGCTTCTTCAGATCCATGACCCATTTATAGATTATCACAAAGAATTATGCATAACTCACAATCCACCAGGAAAACATCATGGGGCATATAATTATGTTGCAAAAGTCTTGCTTCCAAAAAAAAATTGAGTTCAGCCTGGAGTCTATAAACATTTACATGTGCATTTAACTTCATTAAATGGCAAACAGCTGTAACTTCCTTTTCAGTTATCCGCTGTTCTTCCTCTTGAAAGCGCTTTTTTGATCTCTAGGGCTCATGGAGTTTAGACCTTCCTTGGGTCTGGTGCTGACCGGTAGAGGAGAGGAAATTCTCCCTTTTGATTAAAGCAGTGGGTACCCCAAACATGAACCTGTGTGTGAGCTTTGCTTGACAGAGTGCCCTGTTGGTTCTGCAGGAGCCATCTCCAGTGGTAAGTGAACATAAAAAGCAGGAAGAAATAGAAGAAAAAGAAGAGTTAAAAAAAATTTAAAATTATAGAGGTTTGGGAGGCCAAATCTTCTCCCTGTACAATTTTGCGTGGTGTTTAAATATACAGACATGTATTATTATTTTATGATAAATGTAGAGTCAAGCTTTCAAAGTGAGACTGTGACCAATCTCCACCTTGCTACCCCTGCCCAGAGCACTGAGTGCCACATCCAGTCCTGCCTTGGATACCTCATGGGGTGGTGGCAAATCAAGATCCTCTTGACTTCAGCCTTCAGATCCTCAGAATTCAGCATGGATGGCATTAAGAAGCCCAACTTGCATTGCTGCTGGTTTCTACTTGCTAGCTGAACTAAAGAAAATGATTCGTCTTTCTTGCTACTTCTAGTTCTAAGCTGACCAACTGAAGAATGGGCCATTTAAAGCAAGTCTCTGCATAAAAAGTGTTAAAAATGCCCTTAAATTGGTACTACTGTACCATGTCCCGAAACAACATTTTTATCACAAACCCGTTGCATTTCCTTTTGTTTTTTCTCTTTTTTTTTTGGCACGCTATATAAATCTATGTCTTTCATATATTTATGGGAGCGCCCTACTGTTGCTGTTCTGGAGTTAATCTGACACAATAAAAAATATCCTCCTTGCATTCCTCTGCAAAGCAAAATCCAACCTCTGAAGCACCAGTGTTCCATCAGACCCGTGTTCTTCAGGCAGAGCCTAGCTACCAAAGACAGTGCAGTTCTGAAATGACAGTTCTCTACATTGAGATCCATGATTCTCTACGGTTCATATTTCTGGGGCAAAAAAAAACCCCTACTGTTTATCAGTTAGGAGCAACCACGACCATTATTCTAATTTCAGCTGCCCATTAGGTCTAAACTTTCCCTGGTCCCACCTTTTGTGTTGCTTTGCATTCCCAGTCCTGGATTTGTCAGAGGGCTCTGAGAAAAGGCTGTGGCTAAAGTCCTGTGTCACAGAAGCAGGACTGGTCCCCTGGAGACATTTTTGGTCAATGGCTTCACGTACTCATCTTGCACGTGTGCTTCAGTCAGCTCTTCCTGATGGGTTTGCCATGCTGCCCGTGGATCACAGAGTCAATCTTGACATCACCCAAGGAATACTCTGTCTTTTCCACAGGAGAACAATCTAGCCCTGTGCTTCCTCACATATGGAACAGAGGAAGGAGCAGCATTTCCAAGATGCTGCGGAGGATGAACTGAGGGTGACTTGGAATGGGTGGCTGCTCCACACGAAGCTGGGAGCTAAGCCTCCAACGAAAAGTAGTTTCACCAGAGAAGTTATGCCTTCCCATCTGTTCCTTGGATTTAGATTCCTCGTGTTTTATTGTGTTCGTATTATCATACAGCTCTATGTCTGGCATAGGTATTAAAACGTCTGGGTGTGCAGGTTCCATAATCTTGCTGCTGGCTTGGACTTTCTTGGGCTGCAGGACTTGGTTTGCTGCATTTTTATTGTTACCACTGTAATTGTATTGTGAGGGCTCTTGCTCCAGCTCTGGCTTGTTAAATAAACAGAACATATCCTTGTGTCTCATGCCTCCGCGTCTGGAAGGGATTTAAACCTCTTCTTTTGTCTGCGTGTTTTGGCTGAACTAAGATTTTCTCTTGAAAGACCCTGTGAGTTTCAGGGTCTGTGTGTATTATACAGAGTTTGCTTTCATTAAGTTGTGAGTTATTACAGCTTTGTTTGTGCTTGGGGTGTTGAGAATCACGGAGGCCAGTTCCTTTTAAACACTGAGGAGTACAAATAACCCAGGAATAAGGGTCTTTATTGATGTAGCTGCTGCTGTGGCTCACATGTGGAGTAACTCTACATTGTTGTGTTTCCTAAACAGTGGATTTCATAAACTGTATCATTCCATGGTGGCACCTGGTAAAAGGTCAAGAAGTAGAAAAAAGAAAGAGAGTCATTCAAACATGGCAGAATAATAAAAAATATTTTCCTAAGACCTCACTCCCTGTCATTATTCAGCCATGTTCTGACCTGCTTATTTTCCACCACTCACTCAGAAATCACCTCAAAAGTTATTTATGTGAATATATTGGAAGGTTTAATTCTTCCCATCAATGCTGATATTCAATATACAGAGGGCAATTTTTTTTTGTGGAACCTGGTTTTGGAAGATGCATCTACCAAAAGATCTTTAACTGGTCCTTCCAGCCTCAGCCAGAGGTAGCAGAAATGTGTGAAATTTCTTCATAAAATCTGGATGGGAAAAATTAGTTTTCTGCACAATATTTAATCTCTTTCCAGTGATATTAGTCTAAACTCATTTTAAGATGAGATTATGAACTTATGAACTAGAGATTAAACAACATCCTTTGTGAATTTATGTTAGGGCTTGGCCAAACTACCTCTTGTATTTTGCTGCCCACTGCCTTAGCCTACATTATCCCAGACTGGTTATAACTATATTTCTTATGTGTAAGGGGAAATGGTAGGGATTTACACCACTGAAGTACTTTATTTCCTGTCATCTTCTCTTTTTAGTCATCGTCTCAGATTTTCAACTTTCAGATTCATCTGTGGCCTAGGACAATCCCCAGCTCCTGGATTCACAACTGGTTTCCAGTCAGTCACTCCCTACCTCCTATTTATAGTCAGTTTGGGTTTTTAATCTACATCTGGTACCCCTATCATATATTTACCGTTGTATCATTGCTTTGTCTTACACTTATTTCAATCACCATAGTTGCAGAAATCCTGCAAAATGTGAGTACTTTCTTGCAAAGTGGCCCAGTTGCAGTCTGCTATAATCTGCAAAAGTAAGCGAGATACCTTTTTCCACGGGTTAGCACACATCATAATACCAAATTTTGCCAAATTCAACCCAGACTCATCTGTAGCTGATGGTGTTCAGGTTTGTTCGTGAGCTGTAAAGCCTTTGTAGTACTTGGGATGAAAGACACATGTGGCATATCGTGATTTACTACTGGGTTTGCATAATATATCTAGGCCTAATTTATCAATATAACTTATTCAACAAACTGGTCCCTCTCCAAAACATCCACATATGTTTTTTCTTTTCTTTAATTGATTTCTCTTTCCCCTCCCAATGTGGAGCAGCATATTTTTTTTCCTTCCTCTGCATGTTTTGTAGCACAGAGAAGACAATAGAATTTTTTTTTTTTCCCCTTTAGCTTTATGGACTGAGTGCATTATAGAGCAGGAGGAAAGTTTCCAAACTCTTAAAATGAGGAGGAGCTGCACAGGCTACAGACAGGTCATTCTTCAACACAGGAAAAACTGTGTGCTGGAGTAAATGATTGCTTATTGAGTTTCACTCCATCCCAGGCTCCCAGCTCCGGCTGCAGTCCCAGCAGCTCTTCTTTCTCCCCCAGCTCCCCTTCCAGGGGCGAAGCAGCACCTTGCAGAACCCACCTTGTGGAGCACATGCCCAGGAGAACATGAACAGAGCCACTGGAGGTTCCTGGAGCACAGCTGCAGGATCAGCTCCATCTGCACTTGGTTCCACGCTGAGACAGTTCAAGGCTCCTCTGCACCGCAGGCAAAAAGGAGCTTTCCTGACCTGAGGCTGGGGGCTGGCAGAGGCTGGGGTGCTGCAGCCGGGACAAGCCTCTTGCTTTTGCAGCTGCAGAGCCTGGGCTGGCTGCATCTAGGTGGGCTTCCCTTCCCTCCAGCACTGCCCCTTGTCACCTCCTGCCTCGGTGATACTGGCCTGAAAGACAGTGGGGCCACGAGTGTTTTGCATCCTCACAGCATCTGCTGAGCTGAGCTTGTTTTGCTGATACATCAAAGCTGGACCTGAACGTACAGAGAGGAACCTGGTGTGAAACGCATCGTTCTTAAGACCCATGTGTAAGATTAAATCACTGGAGAGCTTTTGTTATTCTGGTTACAGTTTGGAGGCTGGTTGGAATTATTAAGAGTGCTTCCTTATAAACCTGGGTTTCATATTTCCCCATTTGTGTTGTTTTTCTGGATATATCTCCTGTCAGAGTGATCTGTGCTGTTAGAAGAGTATTGACTTTGTCTGAGTTGCCCATGGTTTTATTGGTTTAGTTGAAATCAGAGAACCATGAGATTATTTGGGTTGGAAGGCAATTTACAGCCCACCCAGTCCCACCCCCTGCCATGGCAGGGACACCTTCCTCTATCCCAGATTGCTCCAAGCCCCATCCAGCCTGGCCTTGGGCACTGCCAGGGATCCAGGGGTAGCCTCAGCTGCTCTGGGCACCCTGTGCCAGGGCCTGCCCACCCTGCCAGGGAACAATTCCCTCCCAATATCCAGTAAGAATCTACTCTCCTTCAGCTTAAAGCCAAAGGAGCCTCTCTGGATTTGGCTGAAATCACTTTCTCATATGTATTTCTTCAGGTAATTAACCCTGTGGCAACTTCTTCAGGAACACATGGACTATTGAAGGCATCTTTTAGGGCATTCCCCTGTAGAATCATGGCAAAAATTTAGTGAGGGCTGCTGCTTCTTCTTGCAAAACATCTGGTGCTTTTCAGGTAGGAAGAGCTCCAGTGATCTGCTGGGGTGTTACCTTTCTATTTGTTCCACTGGGTTTTAACAGATACTTGAATTTCAATAACAGCACCAATAATTTCTGAGTATGACTTATTTAATTCTCATGACGTGAAAAGGATCAGGCTATAGTCATGCTCATATTGCATAAAAAAAATACAGTAATTTTAGGCCTTCATGGTCTAAATGTGGTTTTGGAGTGTAGATGGTGATCATTACATTTCATTACATGGAGAGCCAGCCTGAGGAATAAAAGGCAGTCTGAAACACTTTATGAAAAAGCTTCTACCTTACAAAAAAACCATGCATCACATTAATATGGTGACTGGGCAAATACACAGCAATATGTGTGTTTTTTGGAGTCCTTATTTAATGACTCTGGTTATTTCCTTCTCAGACAGAATATGCCTTAATGATGAAGCTGAAATCTGTTCTCAGTTACCAGAATATCTCCAGATTTAGCATGTGTGAGAGAGACTAGCTTGGAACTAAACTTTTAAAGGAAACTTCCATAATTTCTCCTGTGGATTTTGCAGCCTTATCTTCGAACATGTAATTGAAAACACTCTGGAGATGGGATAAGTGAAGTGAATTTTAACATGGATCTGTAGTCATTTAGCCATCTCCTGAAGACTAACACTGCTCAGCAGACAGCACTTTGGAAATTTCTTGATTTGTTTACTGGATTACGTATTTGTCTCATTGCTTTCTGTTGTTTCCTTTGTTGCATGATGCTTTTCCCCACAAGTATTTCAAAACTGCCAGATGTTGAGTGGTAAGAAGGTCTCTCTCCATATCCCCTTCTTGCAGAATTTTAGCCTGGCAAAAATGACCCATGCAGACACTAAATAGACAAATTACATAAGTGTTTGAAAACTCCAGAGCTGTTTCACTTTGGCAAAGGTGTTTTCACCTGTCAGTGAAAAAAAAAAATAAAAAATTCAATATTTTAAAATACGTTTAAGCTCATTGGGGAAGAAAATGTTGCATTTCAACTTTTGGTCCCTGACTGGAGTGTCTTGGTGAAAAGGGTCTGCAATGGTACAAAAACCTAAATCTTTTTGAGGAATAAAAAGACAGGAAAAAAGAGGAGTAGATGATAACTTCTCACAAAGTCTCTCAAAGTCTGTGCTGGGATCCAGGATTTTCAGTTTATTCATGAATGGTATGAAACAGGAACAACAAATGACATAATTATGTTTGCTGATATGCAGTTGGTTCTGGAAAGATAAATTTATATCTATTTGCAATGATTCTTAGAAATATTTTTCAAGATTGGCTACTAGGAAACTTGATGATATTCAGCCTATAGGAAAATCCTACACTAAAGACAAACTCTTAATTTAGTTATTACTAATCAGGAAAAAAGGATTGGCAATTTTTTTGGGTATCTCCCTGAAAATTGAACAAATTGCTGCAGGGCATTGTGGAAGAGAGATGTAGAAATGAATTCTCTAAGGGCTGAGATATGTGAATGGGAAATATATAATTTAATGGCTGTTTAAGACTATTGCACCTAGGCAACCATTATCTCAGTCCCTAAAATGCTGATTATGGGAGACAACAGACGACTATCCAGAAAAAGAAATTGTCCTGTGAGTGATAATTGGTAGTTAATTCTTTATTCCTATTTATTCTGTATGTTTTCCTTCATATTTCTTATCTGTGCTTGTTCCTGGGATATGCACTGTCCTGACAAGATCTTCTCCAACGGGAAAATGGTCATTTTCTGCCTTTGTGGGCACTATCTGGGATATTTTTTTGTCACATGTTCCCAGACTGCAGTGTCCCTGCCAAGCAGTTGCAGCTGGAACAGGTCTAGCAGGGTTGTGCAATCTGATAATTTCCATTTTGGGGCTGCCTCAGGAAATGTGACCCAAAGTGGAAGTCTGTCAAGTTTCAAACCCACTTGAATGGGAATCATCACTAAATGGGCAAATTCTGCAGTGACTTTGAAAGCTGTCTGAGATAATACACAAATATCTTGCTTTGTCTTCCTTTCCAGCTGAGTTATATGGTGGCAATCTGGGGAAACAGAAGTTGGTGCAAATTCAACCCCTTCTGACTTTGGCTGGTTTCCTTTTTTTTCTGTTGCTGGCAATCAAGAAAATTCTGGATTTATTTACTTTACAAACACTGCAAACCCTTTGAGCTACTTTGAATGGCTTCTGTTTGCAGTGTGTTTGAAAGAGACCTGGATTATCTGTGGTGCATAAA